CCATGAAAGTTGAGATTAACAAGTTCTTATATTTTGGGTGTGTGGTTTATATAAGGTTGCAACCTTTAACAATCAAAGTAAGTACACCTCCAAATTTTATCATAAGATATAATTTTGGTTTCAAAGAGCATCTCTAATTACAAAATTTGAAACTCTAAAAACTGGTTTAAATCAAATAGATCAATAAACACATGAAAATCTTGAAAATGGATGGTTCAAGTAATGTATTGCAAGCAGTACTATTTTTGGAACCCAAATTTTTTTTTTTTGTATATATATATTCATAGATCTTGATATTGAAATGATTAATTAGAGGGTTTTCCAACATCAAAATAACATTTTCCAATGATTTTGAGATGCAACTTAATTCTACAATTCAGTGTTACAACTTTATATAAAATTTTCTCATATTTTAAGTCCAAAATCTATCTCAAAGATGAATTTTGAAATGGGGCCGCATATCTTCATGTGAGTCGCATCACCCACCAAATGCCTCCCTAAAATAAAAGGTGCAGGTTGTATAGAGGAGAGGCTCTAAACAAGCAAAGTAGAGCGCATCTGCAATAAATGTGGTTTCAATACAAAATATCTTTGTGATTGAGATCTTTGAAAATCTTGAAAATAGATGGTCTAAAAATGGGTTACAAGATGCACTATTTTCAAAACTTGAAATGTATTTTTTTTTCACATTCGTGCATTTTGACATCGAGATAATGAATTTGAGGATATTTGGACATCAAAACAATCTCAAAATTTCCGAGGTCGGCTTTACTTTGATTGTTTAGAGCACCAGCTCTATATAAATTTTTTTTTTTTTTTTTTAAAAAAAAGGTGCGGTTTCTAAATACATTGGTAAAAAATAAGATTCTTCATCACGCGTTTGAGATAAAATGCACCAAAAATATCACACTGAAAATATTCGGTTGGACGCAGTGCTTAACTTTTATATCAACCGAGTCCTCCTGCTATTCTAAAGTGTTTTCCCAAGATAACTTGTATAGGAGAAATTTTATTAAAATAATACATACTAAAATACAAGATTTTTATTAGTAATCCACCTCACGTATTCATATGACTTACAATTTTGAATTAAAAAATTTTTGGGGTCGATAATTTATACCACGGTGAACATGCGTATAAAAAAATAATTTTTCAAAATAAAAAATACAATTTGGTATGGACACGGTTTTTGTGCATCCACATAGAAATGAGTCACCTCTTAAAAATCTGTTTTTGAGATGAATTTTTCGACCTAATTCTTAAGGACATCTATGTCTAACATGTAGATCATAATATAAAATAAATAAATAATTTTAAAAATTAGAAATAATAATTTTATTAAAAAATATTTGGACCAATTGTTTCAATTATTTTAAGATAAAAAACCTATTTACATCCATATTAAAGATGGATGATTTATTCCCGAGGCACCGTGAGTATAGAAATGCGGTCCCTCCACGTGAAACAATTTTTTATTTGTTATATACCTTTTATACACCCTTTGATTTATAAATGTTGGTGGGACCACTACCGTTTTGACATCCATCTTTGATAGCATCACGAGATACATATGTAGAAGTGCATCCCCTAATTTCCTATATTAAAAGCCGGCCGATGCAAGGTCTCAATCATGTTACATAGGCAATGAGGTCAGGGCGGTTAGGAGTATGTTCAGGCTCAAAATCCAAATCGAAAATTTTCAACTATGTAAACTCTTTATATTTTACATGTAATGGCCATTTTCACATTTACCTTCCTTCTTTTTTTTTTCTTTTCTTTCTTTCTTTTTTTTTTTTTAATTTATTTATCATGTACGTATAACTTCCCATTCAAATTTGTGCACATGAACAAAAAATGTCGACGACTTAGATGGTCCATCCAACAAAACCTAGGGCTAATCTAGTCCAAGAAAAGGTATACAACTAGGGGTGGTAATGGGTTGGGTCAGGTCCGACTGGAGCCTAACTTGGACCCAAAAAAAATTATGGGACCCAAACCTAATTGGACCTGAAGTTATCGAACTTGGACCCGATTAAAAAATTAAAAAAATAAAATAAAATATTATATATATTAAATATATACATGTATTATCTAAAAGGTGTGGTTTCTATAAGGTTGCAACCTTAAACAATCCAATTAAAGCACACCTCCAAAGTTTATAATAACTTGTGATTTTAGTGTAAAAAATTATTAGGATTATTTTAAAATGTATTTTTATCTTTAATTATAAAATTTTAAACTCTAAAAATGGTTAAAATCAAGTGAATCTATAAACATATGAAAATATTGAAAATTGGCAATCTAGATATGTGTTGTAAGATGCACTATTTTTAGGACCTGAAAACATTTTTTCTTTTCATATTCATATATCTCGATATCGAGATGATCAATTAGAGGGCTTTCCTTGGCGTGAGGTTGCTTGCACGTATGGGATGCTCCCTTTTGTGTGAGTCTTATATTGCCAGATCCGATTTGGCTAGAATTCTATGGGCGAGGTGAGTTTTTTCTTGAGTATGCTATACACCTGAGGGCATGTAGTTTACATCAGTGTTTTAAATCTTGACAATTTTCTATCCTGATCGCTTATTTAGATAAGAATCAGTTAGGACCGAACCGTTTGGAGATGATATAGTTGCAGCACGGTTCACCCCAAACTCACTTTCTTTTTTGTTCCCCTGTTATTAAGGTTGTTTGATGTTTTCTTTTTTTATATAAAGTTGCAACTTTAAATTAAAAAATTAATATGCGTCTCCTAAATAAATAAAATAAAAAATTTATATCAACTTTAAAAATGAAAAATTAAGGTGCACCTCAAAGATCTATTGGAAGACGTTGCTCTTTTATAATAGGCGAACCATTACAGACAAGGAGGCATTGTATTTCTTTTACCTGAAGGGGAAATATTTCTATAATTCAATAGACAATGAGAACACGGTGGTTAATGAAGGAGAGAGTTGAGGGGATGAAAACAAAATAAAACTTCATGTCAAATCGGTCTGAAAAACACTTTCAGTAATGAAATCTTCAAGATGTTTCAAAAATCAATTTTGAACACTAACAATAAAATTTAAAACTAAAAAAAAAACAGATTTTGTGGATCTATAAATACTATAAATACTTATTTTTAGTGCACAATAGACGTCTAGATAATTTATTAAGATATATGCTACTTTTAAAGTTTGAAATCTTAATTTGTTTTCAAAATCATAATGTTCAAGTCGAGATGATTGATGTGAAGGTTTTTTAAAGGCCAACGCTCTAAACAATCAAAATAAAATACACTTTTAGGTAGTTTCAATAGATGTTTGAATACTAAAAATCTTTATGATAGTTTTAAAATGTAATTTTATTTTTAATTAAAAAATTTAAAGCTTTAAAAAGAATACTATCGAATCAATGGTTTAAAAAACGGATCGGTGACCCGGATCGGGCTTCCAAAAAACCGATCCGGATCGGGAATCGGGTGAATCGATCAGAATAAAGCTTAAAAAAAATCCAAAAAAATTATTAAAATTCTTTTAAAAATATTGTTTTTTAATAATTCAATAAAAAATGAGGGTACTCCATTAAGAATTTTCATGTTTTTGAATGAATATGCGAATATTGATATGTTCTTTCCCTGTATGAACCGCCATTCAGCATTTAATTTACATCACACAAAACGATAAACATAGAATTATCATGGAATAAGTATATCAACATACATGGACTACAATAAAGCATAAAATTAGTAACATATGATGTAAAAATAAAATGATAGACGACATTATTGTTCTTCTTGGTCACGCTGGTGCCATTGATTGAATTTGTTTAACAATTCATTGATTCGATCTAAAAATGAATCATCGATATTAGCAGGCGTCTGACTATTCTCAACTCCCTGAGTGTTAGTGTTTTGTTGTGTCCCAATCTAAAATCCCCGAAGATTGTCCATCATTCATGCTTACCTGCACTGTCGTGCTCATCCCTACACTGTTGCTGTTGGGACTCGATATATGAATAATATGACGGGGATAGGGTAGCCTCATAATCATCATCTCTCTCATTTTCTCTTTGAATAATATGGATTAAAAAAAAAATAACAAATTTTCAAAAAAATCGATCATGGATTAAAAACACAAAAATCACAAATTTTCAAAAAATTCTATCATGGATTACAAAAAAAATTCGATCATGGATTAAAAAAAAAATCACAAATTTTCAAAAAATTCTATCATGGATTACAAAAAAAATTCGATCATGGATTAAAAAAAAAAATCACAAATTTTCAAAAAATTCAATCATGGATTACAAAAAATTCGATCATGGATTACATAAAATTCGATCATGGATTACATAAAATTCGATCAAGGATTACAAAAAAAACAAAAAATTCAATCGTGGATTACAAAAAAAGAAAAAAACAATTCGATCATGGATTACAAAAAAATTCAATCATGGATTACAAAAAACTCTATCATGGGTTACAAAAAAAACAAAAAACAAAAAATTCGATCATGGATTACAAAACAAAAAACAAACATTTCGATCATGGATTACAAAAAACAAACAAACATTTCGATCATGTATTACAAAACATTCGATCATGGATTACAAAAAATTCTATCATGGGTTACAAAAAAAAAAAATTCGATCATGGATTACAAGAAAAAAAACAAACATTTCGATCATTGATTACAAAAAGTTCGATCATGGATTACTAAAAATTCTATCATGGGTTACAAAAAAAAAAAACAAAAAATTTAATCATGGATTATAAAAAAAAAAAATCAATTGGATCATGAATTACAAAAAAATCGATCAAGTATTACAAAAAAAAGCTATCATGATTTACTAAAAAAATAATAATAATAATAATAATTTCGTACATAACTCGCCGATTAACTGGACGGTCTCGCCGATTCCCGTCTCTCTCGTGTCAAATGAGTGTCAAACAAAAGCAACCAAATCCATTTTTTCTCACTCTTGTCTCTCTCGTGTCGAATGAGTGTCAAACCAAAGCAACCAAATCCATTTTTTCTCACTCTTATCTCTCTCGCGTCAGATGAGTGTCAAACAAACTGAGTCTCTCTCTCTCTCTCTCCTGGTAGAAAGTGACCTGAAAACCAGTCATATGAGGCTGTTTCTCTAGACTTTGCCACCTACCTCTGGTTTCTGGAGATGGGTACTGAAGAAACTGGACGATTGGAGATCTCAGAGGCTTTGTTGGGTGAGTCTCAAAATATTAGAGATGAAATCGAGGTGATTGAGGAGATACAGCCGTGGCAAGACCAGATTACCGTCAGAAGCCTGTTTGTTGGTGCTATTCTTGGAGTTCTCTTCTGTGTTATTATTATTAAGCTTGATCTCACAGTTGGGATAATTCCCACTCTTAATGTAGCTGCTGGTTTGTTGGGTTTTTTCTTCATCAAGACATGGACTGATTTTCTATCCCATTTGGGTATTTGGACTACTCCTTTTACGAAGCAAGAAAACACTGTTATCCAGACCTGCATTGTTGCCTGCAGTGGCATTGCTTCCGCTGGTGAACTCTCTCTCTCTCTCCTCTCTCTCTCTCGATAATCGTTTTTGAGGATTATGAAAGAGTCCATGCTCTTGTTCTTTTGAGAATAATACTTTAAGAATTATGAAAGCCCATATTCTGTCTCTATGTTTAATTATTAGGGAAGCAATATGAGAAATGCCGAAACTCGCATGCTCTCTATGTCTCTCTTTAATTTTGCATCAGTTGCCAAATTATCAAGAAAACTGTATCTCATTGAAAGGAAATGTATCTTGACTGGTATAAAGATTCCCAGTTGGTGCTTGTCTGCTTGACTTGCGGGTAAATTGAATTCTGTTGACGAAGCCATGGAAGTCTTCTGACCGCACGAAATAGCATTTACCAGTTTAACTGATACTGTACTGGGTCTATGCATTACATTTTGAGATAATAACTAGTAACTGCTACTCATTTCGGTTGACTAATCTTTTCAATGTATTTGCTAGAAATTGAAATTGGCAAATGAGATGTATTTATTTGTGCCATATATTCATTTGAATCTATCTTGTGATGGAGATTAGAAATGTATTATATTATTTTGCTGAGGTTATGATTAGTAACTTCGATTTATTTTGTTTTCGATTAATTCTTTTGTTATGTCTTCAACAGGGGGTTTTGGGTCATATATGCTAGCCATGGATCAGAGGACATATGAACTTATTGGAGTCGATTACCAGGGCAATAGACAAGAAGATGTAAAAAATCCATCGTTGGGGTGGATGATTGGATTCTTGTTTTCTGTTAGCTTTCTTGGCTTGTTCAGTGTTGTTCCACTCCAGAAGGTATGTGCACTAAGGAAACAATTTTGTAAAATTTATTTTTCTACAAGAAATCATGGTCCATTGGGGTTTATAGCTGTCAATTAAATTGATGGATGGCGATTGGGAGAGGGTGGATTATCAGATCAAAACCCAGAACCAACAGCAGGTTCTACTCTCTCGCCATCACCATTCATTTCATTGATTGGTGACGACTCCGATGCACTATTCCTTTCCTTGCTTGATTTGTTAGACCTTATTGTGAAAGTGATCTCTCTCTTTCTCTCGTTACGTGTGTGGGTGTGTGAAAATGAACCAACGACCAGTTTCCCAGCAGCATACATACTATTCAATGTCACCTCTATCTAGGGAGTAATTAGGTATAACTTGATTGCGATAGCTTTTCAACCAAATCTATCAATCTTCGTCCTTGGGGAAACCCAAAAGATTTCTGCTTCATTTATGGCACATCTACTCACTTTTAGGAGCTTTAAAGCTCATTTTCACAGCCATTGCACTTTACCCAACTTTTTTTTTCTTGTGATCATCGAGACCTGAAAGTGCAAAGTAAAGGCCCAGATATATGCAGTCTCTTTTCGAAGACCGCAATTAAAATCCAGTTTTTAGAGCTGTCTCAGCCTTCTCTCTTCAAAGTTCGGACATCCATTTAAAACTAGATGGTGAAGAGTTTATTTTCGAAAATGATGAGGATCAGCGAAGTCTTCTGGAATGCAGTTTCAAAGGTGTGGGAGTTTGATAATGGTGTCAGTAATAAGATGAATGTGTTGTAAATGGTTTGTTTCTCCGTTTTCTCTCTCCAAAGGTAATGATATTGGACTACAAGCTCACTTATCCTAGTGGAACAGCCACAGCCATGTTGATAAATAGTTTTCATACAAGCTCTGGTGCAGAAATTGCAAGGTAATTATTTTCTTCTGGAATTTTTCTATATTGAATATTACTCTTCTTGGAAACTTGAGTTTGCTGTTGGAATGAAACTTTCTCCTCTGGATACAATTGATTTCGTTTAATCAATACACTCTAGTTCATCTTGTTTTGCTTTCTATGGAACAAGATCAGAGAAATCTAGAATGAAAAGTTATTGATGAAGATAACAATGCTTTTCTAGTTTGTGTATAACTACAAATATTTCTTCTTTTTATTGTGGATTGTAATACACTTGCTCTACAGAGATAAACTAGAGTGGAAGTGCCTAGGAAACTTTGAATCCAGTTTCCTTTCTTAAATGTTTGAAAATAAAATTCAAAATTTTATTAAATTGAGAAAGATATTTGTTCCTATAATGGGAAATCATTTCTTAGTCACTATTTCTTAAGGGCAACATTTTATCATCTTTCTTCAAAAATTTAGCTCACACACACCCACATACATGCAAATACACACATGCACACGCACGCACGCACACATGCTCGGATGCACACACAAATACATTTCACAATCTCCAAGTGCATTGTTCTTTTAAAATAAAATAGTGCCATATTGTCCAAAATAAGGAAATTGTTCACATTCTTTGTTCCATGTGTGATTTTGAGGTATTTTTTAGTTGCTGGGGGTTTTGTTTGTGCAAAAGCATGTTATTCAAGTGATCATCTTTGCATGGATTTGATACCATGAACTGTTGTACTGTTTAGTAGAATCCTTGAAGCCTTTGTAGAAAGGATCTCTTCCTGTCAATTTTTTCTTGGGATTGTTGTGAACATATTGTGAAGCCTGATGCTTGGACTAGAGTATTATCAATTTAGGTACTGATTTTATTTTAGTGACATATGGTATTCTTCGTGGTTTCCTAGCTTTACTTTGTTCACTTCTCTAATTGTTATATAGAAATGGCTTGATGGTGTGTTTCACTTCATGAATTTTATATGAAGTTTCTCCTCGAGTTTCAGGAATCAAGGTCGCACTCTCAGCAAATATCTCAGAATTAGCTTGCTCTGGGCTTTTTTTAAGTGGTTCTTCAGTGGTATTGAAGACTCCTGTGGCTTCGATAACTTCCCCAGTCTTGGGCTGGAAGCATTCAAAAACACGTAAGGCTTTGAAAATCTCATATTATGAACATAATCCAGTGGACTATGGTTTACATTGTGCAGTGGAATCATCACCGTCCAGTTAGATGGACGGTGGTGAAGGGAAGGACCCACATTTGGGATCACGTTATCTCCTGGTAGCAGTCACTCTCACTCCATTGCCATCCATCCTTCCATGGGTCGCTGCTGGCACCATTGGATTATGATGTTACCTCCCCAAGAGATTTTGGGATACATTTTGCTTTGAAATGCTTTTTTAAATTGACTACATGTTTGGATTTGTGTTGTGGTCACTTTCCTCTATGCAGATTTTATTTTGACTTCAATCCAACTTATATCGGATGTGGTATCATCTGCCCACATATAGTTACTTGTTCTGTTCTTTTTGGGGCAGTAATATCGTGGGGGTTTCTATGGCCATTTATTTCACAACATGCTGGTTACTGGTATCCAGCAAATCTGAATCACAGTGACCTTAAGGGACTCTATGGATATAAGGTATCGTGGATATAAGTGGGTCTCCTTTATTAGCATTCACTTAGGGTATAATTTTCAGGGTATTTTGTATGATAACTAATTTTGTATTTTAGCAAAAGAAGGGCTTAATAGAGAAAACCAAGTACTATTATCTGTTCAGAATAAGAAGAGTTAGGTTTCTAGAAGATGGAGAGTTTATATATTATATGAAAAGCTTACGGTAAATGTTGTCCTATTTTTAACATTAGGCTGCTCTCATCATTTTTCTTAACCATTGCCAGCTTTGTAAATATTATCTTGGAAACCATGTGGCGATGTGGTATCATATCTTGCAACTGGAAGCATTATCTTGCCTAAAACAAACATCTAGTACGAAAGAACATAACCATAACCTACTGGATCAGGGGAATCTGAAGGTCTGCTAGGGAAGACAAAACATAACAAGGTAAAGGCTGAAAATGTAGCCATGAAACTTAGGAGTAGAAATTTAGTCAGGTCACCAACGAAATAATTCTCTTATGGCTCCAATGCAACTCACTGAATATATTAAACATGGAACCGCCTTGCCTAATTACATAGTGAAACCAAGTTAAATTTTCCCGTGCTATCTAGACTTGTGAAATAAAGTATGCTTTGCATGTACCATTTTGTTATTGAATAGAAAAAAGTTCTACTGATCTAAACATTATTGGCAGGTCTTCATAACAATTGCTCTTGTCCTTGGGGATGGGCTTTATACCTTGATCAAGATTTTACTCATAACAGTCAAGAAAATATGTGCTCAACGCTCAAAGAAGAGCAAGATTCCTCTGACCAACACTTTTCAAGGTGACTATTCTGAAATTGTTCCATTTATTTGCGCATTTTCTGAACCCATTGGATCTCCATTCAGATCACACACACCAAGACAAAAATTGCACTGTAATTTTCTGAACCCATTGGATCTCCATTCAGATCACACACACCAAGACAAAAAATTGCAAAACTAAGCAGTTTCTTCCAATGTTGGTTTTATGGGTAGTCATAGAAGATAGCTTTATTTGCCTGCTCAAGTTTGTAACATGACTTTTTCAGTTATAACAGATAGTGAAGTCTCGAAACCAATTCTTGAGGAGAGAGGACGGAATGAGACATTTCTCAAAGGCATGATACCCTCATGGATAGCCACCTCAGGCTACATAGGCCTCGCGGCAATATCCATGGTTGCTATTCCCACCATATTCCCCCCTCTCAAGTGGTATTTGATCCTCTTCTGTTATATTATTGCGCCATGCTTGGCCTTTTGCAACTCTTATGGATGTGGCCTCACTGACTGTAATATGGGCAGTACTTATGGAAAGGTGGGTCTCTTCATAGTTGCCTCTTGGATGGGCCCAAATGGAGGGGTCCTCAGTGGCTTAGCTGCATTTGGGGTCATGCTTTCTATTGTCTCCACAGCTACTGACCTTATGAATGATTTCAAGACTGGCTATCTTACATATTCGTCACCTCGGTCTATGTTCGTTAGCCAATTGATTGGAACAGCCTGGGGTTGTGTCTTAGCCCCTCTTACATTTTGGATGTTTTGGAATGCCTTCGATATAGGCTCACCTGATGGTCCATACAAGGCCCCATATGCAGTGATAATGAGAGGAATGGCTATATTGGGTGTTGAGGGCTTCTCTTCTTTTCCCAAGTATTGCTTGGAGATGTGCTATGGATCCTTTGTTGCAGCTTTGGTCATTAACCTCGTAGGGGAGGTGTGCCCTAAAAGAGTGGCTAAGTACATCCCGATCCCTATGGCAATGGCTATACCCTTTACTATTGGGGCGTATTTTGCGATTGATATGCTTGTGGGGACAGTGATTTTGTATGTTTGGGAGAGGATCAATGAAAAGGATGCAGAGGCATATGCATGCCCAGTTGCATCTGGTTTGATCTGTGGCGACGGGATTTGGTCCATCCCTTTAGCCTTGTTTTCAATTTTCAAGATTAATCCTCCTATATGTATGTCCTTTCGGCCTTCTGTAAGTAGCTGAATGAATAGTCATATGGGCCTGGGTATGTATGATGATTATGGATGGGTCATATGGGCATTGCACGTAGTTATGTATGGCAGTTTTTTGAATCTTATGATCTTCAAGTCCGAACTGCAGATTGTTCTCACTTCTCATCTACATTGGGTTTACTTTTTCATGAATATAGGATTTATGTGGGTGTATGTCTAAACTTGGATGCATGTGCATCTTGTCCATGAACATGAACATTGATGTAAATAAGTGCATGCTTGCATTGAGTTTGGTATCACTCGGCTGAGTCTCAACAAGACTGGTTTGAGTCTAATAAAATTAACACAGAAACCTCAGAAACCTGTGTGACTAAATTCACCCAGCATCCTGTGGGTTAACTCAAGCAAGTCCAAGTGGGAGTCACCAAGCTTTAAAACATTGGTATCAATCTATGCATGTATATGTGTATTGGATACATGTATTCATATACGCATACATGAACTGCACCCTTTAATGTTTGCATGTGTATATGTAAGCACTGTTTTAAAACCCCCTTGGTGGGGCGGATCGTTCGCTTATATGTCCGTGTCGTGTCGCCAGATTGGTGGTCCAAATTGGTTCGAATCGATGATCCAAAAAAATTTAAAACTAAATAAATTAAAATTAAAATCGTTCGCTTATATATCAGTGTCGGGTCGCCGGATTGGTGATCCAAATTGGGTCTAAATTGGTTTGAATTGATGATCCAAAAAAATTTAAAACTAAAAAAATTAAAATTAAAATAGCTATTTATGGGGTGGGGATTTAAGGGAAGATAGGAAAATATTAGATAAGCTTCAAAAAAAAGAAAAACAAATAAAAGGGGGGTTTTTGTTTGTAGAGGGGGTGGGTGGTTGGTTTGGTGGGAATCGTCGGAGCACATACCGTTCCAAAATCAGTTCGATTCTGATTGATTCCCATCCAGATTGAAGTCGATGGATTTTAAAATATTGAATGTGAGAATCTATATATGCATTGTTTGGACGGTGATGCAATTCACCCCCATTTTAGATTTCCTCTTTTCTTGAGGGGTAATTTCATCACTGAAAAATGCCTTTTATGAAGCCCATGAAAGTGCATTTTTGAAGGGAGGAAAGATGAAGAAAAGGTAGAGAAGTTTGGGGATTTAAATTGAGGTTTTTATACAATCATTAGTACCATTGTGGCCTCTTATTGAGCTAGTTTTCATCACCATTTCTTTGTGGTGACAGTTTTGGTCAACAGTGACTAAGAGAAGAGTCGATTGATGGAGGTAATGTAGGATGAAATATCTATTTAAGGTTTATTTGTTATTGTATAAAATAATCTCTACAAAACTTCAAACTTGTAAATTTCCTCTATTGATAATGAATGCATTCTTGTTCCTTGCCTGTGCATATAGTTCATTTTGAGTGAACCATATAAATATGTGTCTTCTACTTTTAATAGTGTTGTAGTTTGGTAATTTTCCATTTAACTTGTTTTTCTTGCTTCTATATTTTTCCCAAATAGACTGTATATATTATTTTTTTTGAGTATTTTGTTTGGGTGTTGGAATTATTGTTCAGGTGCCTTGGGTTATCCAATTTGCCCATGCATACCCCTTTGGAGATAGGTTGCATATAACACATGAATCCACAATCCAAAGGGCTTATATGCTCATTCTTAATTATCTACAATCTACCATTAATTATTTCCCTATGTTTCTTAATAGGGAAAGCTTTATATGTTTCCCCTACAACATAGAAGTTCTATCCTCCCCTTTATCCAACCATTTTTTAATGGAGAGCTAAGATTGCCCCAATCACAATGTCATGTCTCTACACTATTTTATTTTTAATTTTTTTTCTATAAACTATTTTGACACCAAATTTTGAATGTTTATTACTCTATTAAACTCGCACTAACAAAAAATATAAAAAAAATATTTTCAATAAAATAAAATGACCAAAATACCCCTAAAATTTTCAAGGGGTATTTTGGTCATTATTTTTTATCGAAAAATTATTGTTAATATTTTTATAGGTGCGCCCCAATGAGAAGATGGCACATACCAAATTTCATATTCAGAAAAAATGTATTAAAAACAACTAAAAATAAAATACTTTGAGACGTTGGATCTAAGATCAAACAGTGAGTAACTCTCTTGATAAAAAATGGACAGTTGGATGGTAGGGGCAGGATAGAACTTCTACATTGTAGGGGGAACATAAAAAGCTTTCCCTTCTTAATAATATTATTTCTTTATCGTTTCTCAAATAGGGGCTTCATTTTTCTATATATATATATATATATATATATGGTTG